ACATGTAAATATTATTGAAACACTTAATAAACCAATAATTATTCTTCAAAGAATTACTCATTATCACAATTTTTTAAATCGTTATTTTTCTTTATGACCTTAATTTCTACTATTTTATGCTGTAAATATTACAGTTTTATAGATGCTACTAACTTTGTTTAAAGAAACTACTTAATCATTTATTTCATGAGAACTATTTCACTAAAAATACTTGAATTTTACAATCTGGTTAAAGTGAAAATCTTTACGGTACTTGTTTGTTGCTTACTATTGTTTCTGTTGAACTGACATCATTTGGAAGGACTCTAGAAACCTATGAACACTGGAAAACTGTTCCGTCCTAGTATGAGACTACTCAACAGTGCGCAACTATGACCCCACCCAGCCAAGGATGGAAACAAGCACTTTAAGGTTCCGTGGCTTGCACTTTACTATTGACCCACTGAATCTGAATCTATTGGTTAATATTTTCAACTTCTGTCAGTTCATGGTATAGTACTACCACCACCCAACATCACCGTTAAGTATTTCTTCTCACGTCCACCAGGCTTACTCTACCGGGGCTGGCTGAGGAACTTGAAGGTCCTGGGCTCGATCCCCGGCAGGCAACTTCATTAGTGCGCACTGCTGAGTAGTCGCATACTAAGACGAAACAACTGTCCAGTACTCCTAGGTTTCCAGAGTTCTTCCAACTGATGTCAGTCCATGATGAATTCCAACCTAAAATCAATTAATAGATGTGCACAAACCTCTAAATAGAAATAGGTTTTCTGATAAGACTGAATGATCACCATACCTTAAACCATTGGTTTCTCAAACATTCGTAAACTATTAGCGGGTAAGCTGTCATTATCCTTTACATATACATTACAGGGGTAAAAATGTCAACAGGTAGGAAACAATATAATCATTGTTATTTTACAACAGTGAAGCTTGAATTTATTTGATTAGACCATCTGATATAGCTTTTATTTCGGTGGACTGGTCTAAATTTAGCAAAGTGATGTAAAACATTTAAGCAGAACCTCAGTTGCAGTGGTACTATGATTACAATGCACTGACCGTTGCGCACCACTCATTCACCTGAAAATCCAATGAAATTCTAGTTGACTAAAGAGAAGATGAGGGTTGGGCAGCCATTAAGTTTTTCAACTAAGTCGGTAAAGCATCAACCCTGTAAGATGCATACCAGTAGTTCGAGTTTTCTTCAAACAAAAGATCTCTTTCATCTTTATTCATTAGCCATCCGTGTTCATAATACTATTTTTGATACATATTTTATCGTTCTTTAATCACTCTCTATTTATAATTATTGTTTTAAGCATATACGTTTGATTCTATACAAACTAATAACAATTACAGTCAGTTCGATTGATGTTTCAATCACAGTTTACTCTGAGTCAACGAATCACAAACGGAAAATCTTTTTAAGTTGAAGTTGGCTAAAATATCGAATAACTTTTTCAATGAGATAAAGTGTGAATAGAAAGCCTAACCGTCAATATACTGAAGATTATTTGATGCAGATTATATCCCTGAATATAAACAAAAAATTTCTTTACTAATTGTAGATAAAATGGTTTACTTGCATGTCTTCATCAAAATAACGATAGATAATATCAATTTCTCCTCCACGCTTAATTTTCCTCGCTCATGATGTGGTTATTTCAATAATACAGGGAAGCGAGGTAATGTTAGTTGGATGGAGGCACTCGGTGGGAAGTCTTGGAGCTAGGTTTTGTACACTTTAGCACTCCTCAGCATGACGTATCTGCAACTTCCACGGAAGTGATGTCCTGACTGGGATTCGAACCTGCGTCACTCAGTCCAGAGGTCACAGACGTTACCACTCAGTTATTCGGGCCACGAGTGATCCCCTGTAGGAGTTAATTAGGCACGCTGATTGGTCACTCGAGAGTAACCAACTTCATGTTACCTAGTCCTAAGTCCTGATTGGATTCTATCAATCATTTTCCAGTGTAGCCACCAGACTAGGCAGATCAGCATCGCGATGTACTTCGATAGATATTATTTGGTTGGAGGCAATCGGCAGGAAGCCCGTGACCTAAGTTTCGTGTATTTTTGGCACTCGTCAGAAAGGCGTACATGCAGCCTCTACTAATAGCTCAGTGTTAGCGTCTATGACTGCAACACTGGTTGATGCGGGTTTACATCTCAGGCGGGACATCAGTTCCGTCGGGGTAGCAGACATGCCTTGATGATGAGTACCAAAAGTATGAAACCTAGCTCCAGGGCTTCCTACCGACTGTCTCCATCCAAATAACATTCATCAAAGTGCATTGCGATGTTGAATCAATAGCCCGGTGGCAACGTGGCAAATTTATCGATAGAATCCGATCAGCACTTAGAACTAGACAAAATGAAGTTGGTTACTCTCCAGTGACCAATCAATGTGAAGCAAGGTCATGGATGCAAACTGCTACGGAATCTTTTACTAGGACAAAACAGCAGTGCAGTGCTCCCAGATCTGTAATGTATGAATGATTATTCAAGTAACAGTTAGTAGAACTAGTACGAACCCAGCCCAATTTCATGCTGGCTTGTTATGTTGGTATCTGAGTAAATAGCTGCTGTTTACGATAATCCCATTTCAGATTTATGATCGGTTCGTTTTGAAACTTGTTATTCTTGCTTCGAAATAACAGAGCTATCATTTACTAATTTCTGATAAGTCTCAGTTGTGAAATCCTGTTCATCATCTTTGTACGTTCTTCCCAGAAATAAACCACCTATAGGGTGTGATAAATTCCTTGTTATCAGCAGACAAGCTGTTATAACTATAAGTCCCAACCTTCGGCTTATTTTATTATTCTACCGTTCATATATCATAATCGTATTCTCTATGATGGTTAACCTAAGATATATGCTGAAATTTTTAGACATCTGTAGGGGACTATCATTTAACAATCAACAGGGAACTAAATTATAGGAGCTACAGTCATCAATTGTATTAATTATATAGAACAACTAGCTCAAACTATGAGGAAAAACGATTCCCTTCTACTATGGATATGAAAATGTCACTGGTCTCCTGAATATCAGAATGTCTAGTGATATTTCCTTAAGAATACATTTCCATATTCGTTATTACTTCCTTATGTACACAGTATTCATGAAAGTAATCTAAAAAGTGGTAGATAGTTCTCTCTACTGAAATCACGCTAATTAGTTGGAATTAAGCATTACTCTTTTTGTTTACTGTACTACTGTGGCCACTGAGCCTCAGTTTCACTCTCTCAGCTTTAACCGTATTTATTTAGTCAAGCTGAACCAAACAGGTTTATAGCGTTACGCACTTCTCCAGAACCAGTAGCCTAGGTTTTAACGAGATTCAATATTGATGCTGACCTTCATAGTTTAACTGGACTCGCTAAGCTGAAGGCACCCGGTCAAGCATCCTCGCCATTTGGCACGCTTTCGTGTTACGTTGCACTGCTCGTATTCGACTCTCTAGCCAGTTAGTTGGAACTCATCGGTATTTTGGCACAACCATCCAAATATACTATTCCATCCGACTACGCTATCGTGTTCTTCCTTGGTATTGTGTTCGTGGGTATATAACGAGCACGAATAATTAGTGATTGGTCTCTGTGTCTGTCAAGTTCGCACCAGCCCGACGTGATAAAAAACTTAAAGGCCTTAAATATGATGACTAGGTATTCAAGTTAGAATTATGTGTAAGAGGCACCTTTTAAAATAAGTTAGTGACTTATGTCTGTTTTTCATGCTGTTAATCACTTGAATAATCTCAAAACTTATTCGTTATTACGTCTTGGAGGGACTGATGCTCAATGTAGATCTAATAATACACACTCTTCTAAGACTTCACATACTTATCGTAATGATGGATAGTGGCTAACAGTGGAATCCAGGATGTGCATTTTGTCCTATTTGGGGCTCGTCAACTGGATGTACCTGCTTGTCAGCTTCCACTAGGATTCGGACTTGGGAGCGATCGCTTCAAACATCAAGCGTTATCCACCAGACCACCGAGCTATGAAAGCCACTTCTTGTGCAATGGGCATGGTTTCCGTATAATTGCTTGTATTGTATCCTTTCTGATTGAACCAAATTAATCGGTCTCTATTGACATATGGGCTCCTAAGCCGATACCTCTATATTACCTGTATTTTAATTCTAGTAATGATGGACAGTGGCTAGCAGTGGAATCAACGATGATACAATACAAGCAATCATACTAAAACTATACCCGTCACACAAAAAGTGATTATCGTGGCTCAGTGGTGTAGTGGATAACGCTTGATATTTGAAGCTATCACTCCCGAGTCCGAATCCTGCTGGGAACAACATCACTTACTGGGAAGCAGGTACATCCAGCTAACGAGTCCCAAATAGGACGAAATGCGCACCCTGGATTCCACTGTTAGTCACTATCCATCATTACTAGAATTAAAACACAAGTAATATAGAGGCATCGGCTTAGGAGCCCATATGTTAATACAGACCGATCAATTCGGTCCAATCAACAACAGTATGGTATAAAAACAATTATACTAAATAAAGTTCAGTAATTATTGGGAAGAAGAATGAAATCTGTTCTTCGACCCTATACACATAAGGCACAAAGTCGAGGCAGACGTACGAGGTTTGGGTAGATAGGTGGTATCACTATCCTTCCCGCAATAGGTGTGGCTAATTGCCTAATATGACAATGTTCACAAAGTATCTGAGTGCGTCACCTTTGACTCACAAACTGAAGGGACAAACTGGCTAAAATTAGAAAGGTATGTAATTAAGTCTGAATACCTATCTAGCACTTAAATTTCGTCAACATATAAAAACACATTATTAACACTGAACATCCTCAGACACATGTCTCACTGTGAAATTTTTAAGACAACAAAAAACTACAGTACAGTCAGTAAGTTATTCAAACACACAGATACATAAATATAAACTGTAGCTGAAATTCAAGGGTGAAATAAATAAATCAACTAACTAACTAGCAGTATGCTTACCTTGCACGTATTTTCTTCAATTTCAATAGATAATGATGGTATGGTCTCATTGAATTCAATCAGTATGCCACTGTCACTTAATAACGACAACTGTTCTAGTATGTTTCGGAGATTTCGACAATTTACTTTCAATCGCTGAATAGCTACTTCACTTGACATCTGAAGGAAGACCAATTGATCTTTTGGCATATGATATTCTATTTGCTAAATAGGTCATTTTAGAGCAAGATAAAGGTAATGAACTATTAGAAACATAAAAACTATCACCGAAGAAGAGATAAAACTGGAATGTCAGTGGTAGTTGGATTAGGAAAAGAATATTTGAAAGATAGTACCGGAAACTTATCGCTCGAAATATAAACGTTTTCTTGGAAGTGTCAGTCAAGTAAATAATACTGGAACTCAGTAGTTTTTCTGTAAACAATGCATACATACACACAAATTGGACGAACAGACAGAAAGGTTTGTGACCACATGTCTGAGCATGCACCGAAGACTTTATGACTGAGAGGTGGAAAAGGCTTCAATAGCGCTGTTGCTCGTAACTTTATTTATGCTAGGCATGAAGTTGATATCCAGAGATCGTTCAAAATAATTTAAAAACCGATGAACTTGAATTTATTACGTTTTGCTGAAGTCGTAGCTATTAAGAGAATGAAATCGAACTTATATGTTCAGCGAGTAACAGTCATCAATCTGTGCCAACCATATATTTATTGTCTTGACCATGATAAGTACAGAGAACCGATATGTGTGATACTTTGTGATTATTGTGATGATAATAGTGTGCAGTCAGTTATAAGTTGATACATTTGACAGCTGATATAAATTCAAACTGTTTCATTGTCTACCAAGTGTAATACATTTTGCATTCTTATCTGGATCATTCCAGTTTCAAAGTGCTATTATTGATTGGGTTGATGATATCCTCAACGTCTTGCAAACTTTATGGTTATTTTTACAGACATTTCGTCCTTCCCTGTCCTTCGATAACCAAAGCAGGTTCTGATATTGTTCAGATTCAGAAGCAGACAGGTGCATTTCACTAGTATTTTTATCAAGACAATTAAAAGGTAGTATATACACGTAAGATACTTAATTCTTTACATCGTCTTTAAGTAGTCTACCATCAACTGATTGCATTATGCGGAACAGATAGGTATAAAAAAGAAATACATTTAAAAGAAACAGCAAATCATAAAGTATATCTGTCACTTACAGCATTCTCCGACTTCATTAAATATTCGGAATACCATAAACGCTTCTGTCTGGATTGAGATAGATAAACTGAAGGCATCTGTTCCGTAACCGGACTGACACATGTTTCTAATCCACTTAGACGACAGTATACACTGATCCCATCTCGCCAGTGACCACCATTAGGATCCACATAATAAATACCTAGACAAATAATTTTTAAAACTCAGATAATTTATGGAAAGGATGATTAGTTCGTCTTGAAAGTAATCCTTATCATAGACTGACAATAATTTATCAATAGACCTAGAGGTCTTGAGCTTCCCTCTCTGCGAAGTCAAATCCAAACTGTAAACAAAGTAGCTGTTTGGTACTTTATAGTTCTAGGGATTCCTTAGATGTTTTCAGTCAATGATGAAAACTAACTTACAGGTTATGTTTTTTAAAAATGTATGAAAATAATTGGTCTTATTTAAAATTAAGTCATAAAGCGATACACATTAATGTTTGTATGAGATACTAGTTATGAATGATTGTGAAATATTAAGCAATAAGTGAATCAAATTAAGCAGTTTTTTGGCTCAGTGTGATATCCAGCTATAGTGATAATCAGTAGTAGAACTTAAGACCAAGAATCTCATCTTTTCTGAAATAGGTAAAATGAATCTTAATCGCATTTCAGTAGATGCTCGTATCCCAATTCAAACTACGGTTTAATACCTACAGATAACAAACCTCCTCAACTTTGCGAATGAACTGATAAAGTTGAGGTGGATTCTTTACATAAGAAAGAAGATCAATCCACTGGTAATTATTGTGTTCCCATTGTTTAGATAACTACTCGGTTAACAAATATCCAGGTAAGATTCACAGATGTTTCAGTGAGGTTATCGATACCATCATGAAAAGATTAACTGATTCCATGGGAGATGAATTAAGTGTTTATCATTAACTGAAACATTTTGCACTATCTTCTAACCAAACCATTTTCGTTTCATTCCTATTACTACTACATTTTCCCTTCGGTTCCTAGTGGAACATAGAGATCCAGTAACACACCTCAATTACACTCTCTTCTCTTCAGTCTTTTCAAACTGACTCCACTACTGCCCTTCACCTTTCATTTCTTACTCACATGACCTCCTCCATGTCACCCTCGCCTCAAACGCCCTACTCGTCGTTTCCCATCTAGATCCAATCGACGACTTGGTCTGGAGCGCGATGTCCCCAACCGGCCTTCTCACTGTATGCCCAGTCCAATCAATCTCCACCTTCTTCCTCTGCATATTTGTTCAGCGATAGGTTCTTGTTTCATTGGTTCGTTGCTAGCTAGCTAGCCAGCCAGCAAGCCAGCCAGCAAGCCAGAGTTACTTGTTGCTTATTCTTACTATTCTGGCCTTCTCATCTGATCTGATATTCAGTATCGAGTGAGCGTAGGTGGCAGCTATCGACGAATATCTGTAGTCTGTTGGAAATGGAAACGCTTTTCATGACGTGCCAAGTCTCTCAACCATCACACAGAAACACTGACTTACTTGACTGAATTAGTGTTCAGAATACGGATGTTGTTCACGCTTTGTGCTGAGTGGAGTGCAGTGGATCTCCACACTCATTTCAGATTAATGAAAGCCTATCCTACTATCTATCCAATCCTGATTTCGACATCGTCATCTGTGCCTGTGCCTGTGTCTGTGCTGCCACCTGTAGTTGAAACGATGCTGCCCAGGTATGTGGGTAGTTGAGAGAGACAACTCCATTTAGGTTACTCCCGTTAACAGTGATTGGTGCTTGTTGTTGATGCTGTTGTTCGTTGGGTATGACTCATCACCTCCATCTTCTCTACTTCCACTCGAAGTTCCGTCTTCACTGCCCTACCTCTTCTGTCCACTTGTTGGTTTTCGCCTGTAGATCTTCGAGTTTGTGCCACAAGACACTGGACGTAAATCATCGTTGGCCAAATCCGAATCCTCTTCTGGGGTCTTTTCATCGATCAAACGCCGTGTGCTCATCTTCTCGCTCTTCAGGGTTCGCTGCATGATCCAGTCGAGTCGAGTCGAGTCGAGTCGAGTTGAGTTGAGTTGAGTCTACCACAATCAGAAAGATGATGGGTGGTAGTAGGTGGCAGCTTTGTCTTACTCTTGTTCCCTGTCTTCACTTCAAAGGCGTCACTAAGCTTTTCATTTAAAATAAGTTTGACAGCCCTGATTTATTTAAGTAGTCACCTACTTGAAATTTCAAATGAATAAAATGTTTATTGTTTGAGTCTGTTGATTATGATATTTTATGATATTTCACTTAATCCTATTTAAGTGAAGTGTGGTTTTATAACTACTTGTAGGTTTCTTCAAAACATAGCGCAAAGTGAAGAATAGTGATAGGTTATGCCACAGTTGCTCAGCGTATATTTAGGTATCGCTGTAGATTATTATAGTCACTGTATGCCTAGCGAACAGACAAACAGTTATTCTTCAACACTTTTATAAAAATGAACCAGGGTTCAATATATCTTGACAAACAGAAGGCTTTCATTCTATATATTTGCTGCTTTATTGCATAGAATTTCTCTGACATTCTAGGATGTATTGTCACTCTTAGTATAACCTGAATAAGAAAATACTAAATTCTTTCTTATCAGGTGAATGACGTAAAATAGTTAGTTGTTTTTTAAAAGTGGTGCTTGTTGTCAGAACGGAATTTTTTTTCTCCAGTTTTTAATGAAACTAAAAATAAACGGAATTTTGTTGCTCATTATAAAGTCTGACTGACTGCAGTTCTGTTAAATGAATTTTAAGTCCTTCTAGATCAATTTTCAAAAGAGGAAAAGTGTGATATAACATATCTCTTCCCTCTTTAGTATCAGATAAACTTCTTTTCAGTATCACTGATGCGTATATCTACCATAGTATCAAACAGTTCGTAAAACAAGAATCTGACTCCAAGGTTAAATCTAACAAAACCCACTTAAATATTTTATGATAAATATTTTGAAACAAACGCTTATATACAGTAATTACTAATTAATTTTGATAATGTTTAGAACGAAATAGCTGGCTACGGCCACACCATAGATTTATTACAGGCACATATATATTCGTTTCCTTGTTGACTTAGCTTATCCAATCTAATGTTCCATTTCTCTGGTTATCGTATTTGTTCATTTTTATCTCATGTTTTGAGAATGATATAATATTAACACAGACTGAGTTACTAATCTCTATTTCCATCTGCTCTAATTAGACATTTCAATGAATAATACGTTCTCTACCTTACGTTTATGATGCTGTCCACCACAAGCAAAATATTATACCACATCATCCTGGAGAGACTAAAACATGCTCCTGATTCAAAATTATGACCACAACACACTGGATTCAGGAAGAACTAATCATGTGAGGATGAAATTACAACACTACGATACGCATTCTCATAACTGAACACAGTATAGAATGGCAGTCAACTCAACTCAACTTCAACTTCATCCACTTTGACAAGGCCCTCAACAGTGTCGAGTGAGAAGTAATTTGAAGGTACCTGCTTCAACACTACGGTTCTACTACCACAAACCTTCATCAATCTCGCTCAACAGCTATATGACGACGCCACATGCCAAGTGATTCACAATGGAAAGCTCAGTGTAGTGAAGACAGGGAATAGGAGTAAGACAAAGCTGCCACCTACAACCACCCATCATCTTTCTGATTGTGGTAGACTCAACTCAACTCAACTCGACTCGACTCGACTCGACTCGACTCGACTCGACTCGACTCGACTCGACTCGACTGGATCATGCAGCGAACCCTGAAGAGCGAGAAGATGAGCACACGGCGTTTGATCGATGAAAAGACCCCAGAAGAGGATTCGGATTTGGCCAACGATGATTTACGTCCAGTGTCTTGTGGCACAAACTCGAAGATCTACAGGCGAAAACCAACAAGTGGACAGAAGAGGTAGGGCAGTGAAGACGGAACTTCGAGTGGAAGTAGAGAAGATGGAGGTGATGAGTCATACCCAACGAACAACAGCATCAACAACAAGCACCAATCACTGTTAACGGGAGTAACCTAAATGGAGTTGTCTCTCTCAACTACCCACATACCTGGGCAGCATCGTTTCAACTACAGGTGGCAGCACAGACACAGGCACAGGCACAGATGACGATGTCGAAATCAGGATTGGATAGATAGTAGGATAGGCTTTCATTAATCTGAAATGAGTGTGGAGATCCACTGCACTCCACTCAGCACAAAGCGTGAACAACATCCGTATTCTGAACACTAATTCAGTCAAGTAAGTCAGTGTTTCTGTGTGATGGTTGAGAGACTTGGCACGTCATGAAAAGCGTTTCCATTTCCAACAGACTACAGATATTCGTCGATAGCTGCCACCTACGCTCACTCGATACTGAATATCAGATCAGATGAGAAGGCCAGAATAGTAAGAATAAGCAACAAGTAACTCTGGCTTGCTGGCTGGCTTGCTGGCTGGCTAGCTAGCTAGCAACGAACCAATGAAACAAGAACCTATCGCTGAACAAATATGCAGAGGAAGAAGGTGGAGATTGATTGGACTGGGCATACAGTGAGAAGGCCGGTTGGGGACATCGCGCTCCAGACCAAGTCGTCGATTGGATCTAGATGGGAAACGACGAGTAGGGCGTTTGAGGCGAGGGTGACATGGAGGAGGTCATGTGAGTAAGAAATGAAAGGTGAAGGGCAGTAGTGGAGTCAGTTTGAAAAGACTGAAGAGAAGAGAGTGTAATTGAGGTGTGTTACTGGATCTCTATGTTCCATTAGGAACTCAGGGAATAAACAATCTTATCTTGTGTTTGAGCAGTCATAGTTAAATTTTGCAGGGTATGTTCATTCTTCTGCCCGGATATGTGACTTTATGCAATTCCCAGTTACATGGAACATAATGTTAGCGAAACGAAATAACTGACAAAGGAACTATTATACATTTCAACGAATTTATTTGATTTCAGATATAGTTATGAGTAATACTTCGCCTAATTATGTCATAAGTGTTAAATATCCAAATATTGAAATTTAGCATGATGTAATATGTTTGTACTTGCATGTGTGTAATGTAAAAAGTCTTCATTGTTATATTTAGGCATTTTTGGTTTTTATTTTTCATTTTATCGTTCATTTATGAGCTTCTGCAGATATATAGACATCATTGTAGGATTATCTCTATATTATCAT